CGGTTGAAAATATAAATTGTTTACACTTTTCGTCATATTTTGTATTGATGCTGTTCATATGCTCACATGCCAAGTTACAGCAGTGAAATGAACCTTTCAAGTGATTGATTAAACAAATACTTGAATCATTTAAGACAATATATCTTCCATATAACTTATTCATGTATTTAAATATAAAATTTCAGAATGTGTCCTATCTCAAGGGAATGAGATGGGAATGCATCCGAAGCAAATTTCAAGAAAGAGTTAGGAACGTTTCTGAAGTATCCACCTGACCGCCAGGCAGGAGTGGCAGAGAGAAGAGGAGACGATAATTGTGCTTTTGGAGTTGTAATTGTGTTGAAAAAATCTGAACTGTGGTATTGAAATTGGTGGCGTAAATGTCACTTTGATGCTATATGCAGATGATATTGTGTTATTAGCACAACAGAGATCACCTACAGACTATGTCATGTGTGATGTTTTACATTATGCATTAAACCACGTTTTCTGTGTGCGTGTGTGTTCATAAAGATTTCATGAAAAGTGACTTGTTTTATGTGCTGTCTTCAGGTATAGTTCCTGGTCATCTTGGATCCCTTTCATGGTGAAAGTAATTGCATTGTGTTTATTCAGGGGTCTGTCTAAGAGCTGAAATTCAGACAAAATGTCTTCTCGGGACAATTTTCACCTTTTCAAGGTAACAATACAACAGTAAATAGTTTTTCTTAATTTGGAATACTCTTTTCTTCTTACTGGAATTATACGTCTTACTGACATAAAACTTAAATGAACATTATATTGAATGTGGAATTTTAACCAAGTATTTTATCAGGTAAATATTTTTACTGCAATTTTCTGTTTGAACACTGTTTATTGCAGGTAGCTTTTTGGGTATTTTAGCTGGATGCAGGAGTTTGGTGCTACTTTATTGTAGTTTAAAGATGAAATGCGAGTCTATTTACAGGAAAGCGTAATACCTCCCAGACACAACCACGGAACAACCCATTTTCAACGTTAATAATATGTCAGACTTCAACATTGATTCCACGTCGGATATCTACGTCAAAAAAACTTTCATATACAACCTATTTTCAATCTATTTTCAACGTTGAGGATCAACCTTTTTCAACGTTAATAATATGTCAGACTTCAACATTGATTCCACGTCGGATATCTACGTCAAAAAAACTTTCATATACAACCTATTTTCAATCTATTTTCAACGTTGAGGATCAACCTTTTTTCAACGTTAATAATATGTCAGACTTCAACGTTGATTCCATCGTCGGATATCAACGTCAAAAAACTTTCATATACATATTTACAACCTATTTTCAACGTTGAGGATCAACCTTTTTTCAACGTTGATAATCGGTCAAACTTCAACGTTGATTCCACGTCGGATATCTACGTCAAAAAAACTTTCATATACAACCTATTTTCAATCTATTTTCAACGTTGAGGATCAACCTATTCTCAACGTTGAAACAACGTTGATATGCCTGCTGGGTTTTTCTGTGTGCGTGTGTGTTCATAAAGATTTCATGAAAAGTGACTTGTTTTATGTGCTGTCTTCAGGTATAGTTCCTGGTCATCTTGGATCCCTTTCATGGTGAAAGTAATTGCATTGTGTTTATTCAGGGGTCTGTCTAAGAGCTGAAATTCAGACAAAATGTCTTCTCGGGACAATTTTCACCTTTTCAAGGTAACAATACAACAGTAAATAGTTTTTCTTAATTTGGAATACTCTTTTCTTCTTACTGGAATTATACGTCTTACTGACATAAAACTTAAATGAACATTATATTGAATGTGGAATTTTAACCAAGTATTTTATCAGGTAAATATTTTTACTGCAATTTTCTGTTTGAACACTGTTTATTGCAGGTAGCTTTTTGGGTATTTTAGCTGATGCAGGAGTTTGGTGCTACTTTATTGTAGTTTAAAGATGAAATGCGAGTCTATTTACAGGAAAGCGTAATACCTCCCAGACACAACCACGGAACAACCCATTTTCAACGTTAATAATATGTCAGACTTTAACATTGATTCCACGTCGGATATCTACGTCAAAAAACTTTCATATACAACCTATTTTCAATCTATTTTCAACGTTGAGGATCAACCTTTTTTCAACGTTAATAATATGTCAGACTTCAACGTTGATTCCACGTCGGATATCAACGTCAAAAAAACTTTCATATACAACCTATTTTCAATCTATTTTCAACGTTGAGGATCAACCTTTTTTCAACGTTGATAATCGGTCAAACTTCAACGTTGATTCCACGTCGGATATCTACGTCAAAAAAACTTTCATATACAACCTATTTTCAATCTATTTTCAACGTTGAGGATCAACCTATTCTCAACGTTGAAACAACGTTGATGTGCCTGCTGGGTGTGTTTTAACGATGAATGTAAGTAATGGTGTTACTCTTTATATTGGTTTAACAGACGTAAATTAAATAGCCTCAGATCTGTTTTAATGTCTTATTGCCATCCTTTCGAGTTTTCTATAATAATCTCTGTCAACTCGTGATTCAGAAAGTTGACAGAAGCGCTGTATTCCTTACATTTCCGGGTACTCGATTCCGATTCGGGTAAGTACATGCGGGTACTCGATTCCATTTTTTCCTACCCGTCCCAGCCCTATTTCAGAGTGCCGTCATGTACCTGTAATACTGCCGAGACCAGTGTTCCAGAACAAACAAATGATCAAAGTCTCTCTCTGTATTTTTCTTGTCTATTAATTTATACAATGATACTCGACTTGGTCGCTTGCACTAAACGTCACATAACCTTACTGAAATGGCGGGCAGGGAGGCCTTGTCGTCTGAGGTGCATGTCGTTGTGCAGAGTTGCGACCGTTGCGCGATAGAAACGTGTGAACACCGCTTCTTGTTCAGAGTAACACTCATTATGTTTCTAGGTTTGTCAACATTATAGCGGTACTTTTAAAGCGACTTAGACCTGACTCATCTTTCGCTTTCCTCCGCCATAACGCTGACAATAGATGTCGTGACCAACTGAAATTCTGTAACACTTTATAGCTCCCTCGTATTGCCTTTGTGAAGAAATATAATACATTTACTTTTACATCCAGCGTCTTATTTATCCTTCACCTGTGTATATGTATAAACTTGTTCTTGTCGCAATAAAGGCGTAAATATTTGAACTTTTCACGGGCTTGATGATTATGGTGGACTGTAGGCCACAAACATTGCTGTAGTATACGTTTGTCAACCATACAATCTTGACGTGAGTTAACATTTTGTATCAGATATGTTCACACGCGACTTACACTTAATGACACACTATCACGCCACACTTCTCTAAAAACAATATTGCATTTCTCTCATTAATACTAACTACCAGCCACCAGCGAAGCTACCATATAATTTATTCCGAAATAAAATACGTATTAAGAGTACAAAATGAAATTTAAAAGTTCGAATGAATCGATTCTCGCGCCCTATACCGACCGAACTTTCCTTCAAGCGAACCCCATAGAGTTATGTCCCTTAGAATGCACTTTACGAATATCCTTTAACGCAACTTGTGATTAAGGCCAGTTCGGCAAACACCGACAACACCGCGTGCGACAGTTTTCGATATGCGGATGTTATCTGTTTGGGATCTGTTCGCCTCGAAGTTTCAAATATCGATTTCGGGCAAGTCGTAAGGAGTAATAAGTCGTTTATTGTATCAATAGGAAGCTAACGTGAGTGCACATGCACCAATATATGTATTATAGACCAAAATATTGTCAAAAAAGCGTGACATTTTCTCGCTCATTCAGCATCACACACACTCACACCCTCAGTTCATTTTATTCCTCAACCTCTAAATTTGAACCATGTTTTATTTTCGTTTGATACATACAATCATGTGTGCGTACAGTGAAACCTGATAAATCTGGAATCCGTTACTCCTGACGATTTCTGTTTTGGCTTGCAGAAGTTTCTATGGGCCGTCTCCCTTCTGTGTGAGGCGACCACGCCCATGCATTCACTTGGACATACAATCAACAGATCATGACCTTTGTGTTTCCAAATAAATGTTACATGTTGATTGCCAAGTTGTAACTGAAAGTTGATCGGGAATATGTCCTTAAAAGCACTTTGGACAGCCAACAAACAACAAAGCAGTATTATATAATTATAAAACTGTATTCTAAAATTAACTAAGTTTACAAATTAATACAACGGTATTGCAGTGACAGTGCAAATGCTAATGCAGTATGATACAAAAGCAGTGATTATAGCAATAAAGGCAATGTCAAGAATCACCTTACCGCAACAATGGTCAAATTTCCAAAATATCCAGTATAAGAATGATCTTCATACAGTTGTTGGTCTTCTTGTAACTTCAGAGGTAATGTAATGAGATGAGATGGAATGGTTAATTCCCTGATTGTTCCATCAATACATTAAACGATTTTTGTTACACTTTCGGATCTAAGGCCGGGGAAAAGACGGAAGCTAGGTACGAATTAAACTATTTGTAATCTCCAATATCCTGGTTTCAACGGCTAATGTATGTATGAAATGATTTGGTCCAAAGCATGGAGAACAATCACTCTGCAATACTAAAAACATGAAAGGACTCGCATTTAATCAGATTACACATCCTAGAACATAACACAATCTCGCTCTCCTCTGTTGTGCAAGAAAAGTTCGATCAAGATCAAATTCAATTAAACTATTATCCCTCAACAAAACGTATCCGTCGACAAAGGCCTTTACTGTAACAAACCAAATGTTAATGCACTTGGTTCATCACTGTATCACAAAAAGGGCATTCAAGAATGCAAAGAGTGATGTCTGTTTTGAGTGAACATATTTTACACATAGTTGCTAAAAGGCGGCACCAATAAGTGGTATCACTACAGTAAAAGAGCTATTTAGCAGAGAGATGTATTGACTGGTTTCAGTAAGTATTGATCGGTTCTTTAGAAATCAGCTGCATCCTTAATTGCATCCCATGACATACACTGCTTCAGACAACAGCGAGCAGCAGGATGGTGAGGAGTGGAGCTTTATCAATGCTTGTGTTGATGGTATATCATACTGCAGCTGGTAAGTATGTTATAATTACTTATAGGTTCCAGGTGTATTTTTATTTTATCCATGTATTTGTTAGGTTTTACAAAACTACATTGTCTTTTTAAACAGTATTTTATTGTCAACAAGTTCTGCGTCAAGGATGCGTGTTACGCCTTTCGCTGTTTTCTTATATATTAGTGAAATACAATTCTATCCTGATGTTGTACAATTATTCTGTTTGTAATTTGCTGTTCCAATTCTTACATATGGCGCTGAGATCTGGGGTTTTCCAAAAAGAGAGAATATTGAAATTATCCATCGTATGTTTTGCAAATTCGTGTTACAAATTGGTTACAGATCTCCTAATGTTGTTGCTTATGGGGAAAACGGACGACTCCATCTGTCAAATGTCTATTTTGTAAAATGCATCAAATATTGGATAAGACTATTACACCTGCACCCAGATAGATACCCTTATCAATGTTATCGATTTTTATTGTCAATTGAATCTAGAAAACGCCAAACCTGGGCAAGTTATGTAAAGCATTTATTGTTTAGACATGGGTTTGGAATTGTATGGAACACACAATCTGTTGGTGATCCAAAGATATTTTTATGTAAATTTATTGAAAGAATTAATGATTGTCTCCACCAAGAGTGGCATTCATCTCTTCTTGACAGCAAATCACTGTGTTTTTACTATTCTCATAAATCCTTGTTGAACTCTGAAAAATATCTCCTGTCTAATATTAGTAATGATAATAAACGTATTTTTACAATGTTTAGATCTGGATGCAATATACTCGGTATTCAGGCAATCAGGAAAAGTCTTGCTACTGTCAATGATAATGTTGCATTATGAATGCATTGTAAAGCTGTTGAAGATGAAGCTCATGTTATATACCACTGTAAGTTTTATGAGAGTCTTCGGCAACGTCTTATTCCAAAGACATCAAGTGGACACTACGTCTCCATTCAAAGTCTCTGTACATCCGTAGATATTAATATCATTAACAACTTTGTGAAATATTTGAATTACGTTTCTTTTTATTCTGAGAAACATTGTTAGCAAATACGTCCAAAACACGTTTCTTCGATCTATACTATGTACAACAATTGGTAACATTGTTAGCAAAGTTTCTTCGATACAACCATACTATGTAACTATTATTTTGTACTATTGTAGGTCGTATGGGTATGTCTCTGTATGCAAATATGTCCAAAGAACATCAAAAGTGGGCATTACGTCTCTTGTATGCAAATATTCAAAATCCATTCTGATCATCCTCTGATATTAATATCATCAACAAGTCTGTGAAATATTTGAAATATGTTTATTTTGCGAAACATTGTTAGCAAACACGTTTCTTCGATCCATACTATGTACACATCTGGTAACTCAACAATTATATTATGTACTATTTTGTACTGTAGGTCGTTTGGCCTCATATGCAAATAAATCGCTCTCACTAATTTGCTGATGACATAGTGTTATTTGCTGATACTGTATGTGGTCAACAAAAAACGTATTGAAGTTTAAGGAGGCTTTTGGAAAAGTCATCAGTCATCTGTGAACTAAGTTTTTTGTTGTTAATTATTGAAAGATGTGAACAGTGCAGTTTTCAAGACGAAAAAGATTTTGTATATTGTCCTTAAATTTTACATATGGTTAATCCTCTGCCACATCTCGTAAGATGTTTCAGACGAAAATTATCCCTATTTTTTAAGATTAATCATAAAGTATTTGAATCTGTCCAAATGGATGGGTGTAATGGTTCTTGGTGATACGTCCTCAATGTCAAAGCATGTAGCCAGGGAAGAATGTTGACTTTGTTCAATGTATGATTTTTCTTATTAAAATGACGATGTGTATAAAATATGCCAAATACCTGATACGAAATTAAAACAAACGTTACAAAATATCAGATTGTGTCAAAGGACATGTAGTTTAATAAACTGTTACATAAGGGTTAAATTAACCCAGGTTAGCACTAATTTTCCACGTCATTAAATTGTCTTACTATTTACTGTTAATCATGAAATTAGTGATGTTTTCCAATATTCTAGCAAAGTTTAAAGATACATAAGGTTGTCTTGGATGGTTAAATACATCCTATTTATTCCTAATACAGGACAAAATACAGCTCAAAATTCATACATGTGATAACATGTGATTCTTAAATTAAAACACTGCTGTCTTCGTTCACAAAGGGTTAACATGTTCTTGGAATGTGCGCATTAACAAATATTACATCAGATGTTCTCCGATTTGTCAGTCGGATAGTGACAACAGTCAATGTTCTTCCGACTGAAATCTGTTTTAGACTGTTGTGTTATTAACAAAACAACACTCGATTACAAATATGTCAGTCCGGCCGCTAAAATAATTGCTCTTAAAAATATTCCCTTCAAAACAACAAGGGATACGTCGATGAAACTTGGCAATGGATATTTGAGAATTGTAAGCACTTTCTAGTAACAGTTATATTGGAATGATAAACGAATTGGGAACACATTATATTAATGAAGTATTGCCAGTAGATGTAGGCCACCGACGTTCTTAAAGGGCGATGTGGGATACGACTGTTGACGGTTTTGGATCCGGAATACTTAGCAATGCTGCCATGGTTTGTCAAACATTCGTTCACTGGACGAGGCAGACTGCGCAATGTCGATCTGAGGGAGTCTGTCCCACTCCTGTTGCAGCGCGTGGTGAAGTTTAGCCAACGTAGTTTGCGACCATTGAACAAATGTCCTCAGTGTTCAGTAAGGGAAAGTTTATACGCTCTTTGCTGGTTATGGCATTCTGTTTATGTTGTGCTGCAGGAGGTGAGCGTTGATAATCCCGTGCGTTGTCGTACTGAAGGAAAAAGACCCACAGGCCTTGCTAACGAATTAACAAAAGGTGGCAGCATGTTGTACTGTCCCGGAACCTTATATGGAGTTCGATCACTGACAGTAATACCACCCACCCCATAGTATAACCGAGCTTCTGTGAAATCGGTAATGAGGTCTCAGGTTGCTTGGGGTTCTTGGGATGCAGCCAGACACAACCATCTCTATCAACTTCTTTGATTGGCATTTTAAAAGTTGGGACCTACAATATTGAACAAACTTTATGGATAACAACTTCTTCGAAATCTTTGGCTTCCACGCCGTTCCCTTTGTCAACGCACTGGCTTTATCAGCTTACTGCACAGATAGTTATGTTAATTATGCTGTTTTCCTTGTTACATTAAGTGTATATACTTACCCCCATCCCCTCCTCGTCATATGAGCGAAATATTCTCAAGCACGACGTAAAACCCAATTTCACCTCACCTCACCTCCTCGTCATCTTACATTCCTGCTTGACGGTACAAGAATCTGTATTCCTGCTTGGCAACGGTATAACAATCTGTGTCGAAACGTCGCACTCACGAAATGAAAGAAGTTGTTATCCATAAAGTTTGTTCAGTATTGCACCTCTATCAAGGAAGTGCAAACGGAATCTTTACTCACCTGAAACATTACATGTGACCAGTCCCGACTACCCCACTTTTGGCTTTGACTCCACCTTGGACATCTGTTGGCAATGACTGTGTTATGGGCGGTTCAACACGTAGCGTCCGAGTATGTAGATGAGCTTGGATGACGCGTTCTAATCGTCTGACTTGTAACTTGTACTTAAGTGGTTGTCGTGTTATACATCCTGTCAACATCAAGTTTATATTTCATCATGCTCTACTTGTTTTGGTTGAAGTGTACATTTGAGGTTCCATTTTGCATGTTTCTATGAGTAGAATAGAACCTCAACGTAAAACATTCTCATCTTATACGTGTTAGATTAAATGTCGCTAATATGTCCTGCAACATGTTTCATAGTTATTGGACTATGACCACCTTCTGAGATTGACTTTTCAGACTACTAGTTTGTGTGCATATTTTTCACCTATTTGTGCTGTCAAACCGAATCCCTGGGTTCAATTCCCCACATGGGTACAATGAGTGAAGCCCATTTCTGGTATCCCCGCATTGCTGAAACAAGCGGCGTAAATCTAAAACTTACTCACTCCTATATGTGCACTCCTTCCATGGTCTCTAGTGTTGTGATCTACCTTCAGTTGTTGGCGATCAATAGCCCACTTTTACGTTGTATTGTCCACAAATAGTTTTCTACTTTTAAGATATCTGCTAGCTAGTTTTAACTCATTTTGTGATAATCTAGTAATTTTACTGTCTTTCGTTGACAGGGTTTTATATATCATATGTATGTATTGTGAATTTATTATTATGAATCTTAACTCACTCACTCACTTCTTTCTGGATTTTTGATGTGATAAAATAGCAAAAACAGACCTATGATTGTCGCTAGAGGCGTCAGATTGATCAGGAGGTCCCATTCAACATCTTGGTAGGATGCAATACAGAATTGAACTGATACATGGCATTGTGCGGCAATATTCAGGAATGTTGTGCATAATAACTTAATTATTTACAGGCCGTGATATAGTACTGGTGACATCGAACCAATCAATGTAAACAAAAAAAATTATGGCTCAGTTGAATGTTTCGGTAGAAAATCAATGCTGAATCGTCTAAGGTGTTGATGTTACATACTATGTTGACTGAGTGCACGAATAATGATCTCCGTCCAACCATTAACCTTCAATGTAGATTTCAACACAACATTATCCAGCAGTATTGATGTTCCCAATCGTTTACTTTGTGCATGTAACTACATGGATCAATGTTCATGACAATGATCACTGGATTAACGGGTTCCCGTCGGTGACAGGAAAATTGATTGGTGCGGCATTAGGCAACAGACAGACACATACCTAGCCTTGTGTTGGTACGGTTACCCAATTGATATGATTCCCTGGTGGTTATCTTGTCCAATAAAAGTAACGTCTCATTAACGTTCATTGTAATGGAAACAAGTGCATTGACTGCATTTCATGTTGAATTCAAATTGTTTTTAGACTGAGGTCCTGTTTCTAAAATCGATAAACACGTACGTGTAGAACACACAGTTTTTCAATTTGTAACGA